ATTATGATTTCTTAGTGTATAACTATAAAATGTGAGAGTTCTCAGAGGTACTATGAAAGATCATACAGCCTCTGAGCCTTTGTGAATGTGCGTGCGTGTATGTGTGTGTGTGAGAGAGAAAGAGAGAGAGAGACAGAGAGACAGAGAGAAAGAGAGAGGGGGAGAGAGAGAAAGAGAAGACTTGTCCTGGAAAGAAACCTATCCCTAGGGCTGCCTCAGATTCTAACTTCCTATCACCAGATAAATTCCCTTTCAGTATTTCCCTCATACATTTTTTACTTACGGGGCCTCTGAGTGAGTTTCTGTTCCTTATAACCAAAACAAAAAACAAAAACAAAACAAACAAAAACCTCACTCATTAGAAAATAGAAAAAAACTTTAATTCTTTCTAGAGCATCAAATGACACTCTGACACTGATATAGTGTGTATAGGTAGAAACACCCAAATGCTAGTACTCTGAACAATATTACATACATCAAGGACCATTTACTCCCAGGCCTCTCTCCAGACCTTCAATCTTACTCCTCCACTGAAATACTATTAGAAATATGAAAAAAAAAAAAAAAAGACTAAAACCTGGCAGCATTTGAGGTTGGGCTCAACAAGGCTATGGTGAGACAGGCCTCCTTGCTGCTCACTGCATTTGGCACATGTGTGCTTCCTATAGGTATATTTTGGGGCCTGGATCCTCAGGACACTGGTTTAGTGATGGATGAAGTTTTATTGAAATACCTCTCTACCTAGAGAGAAAGTCTGTGTTACCTTAGGAATTAATATATGCCATAATGGAGTGTAGCTAGAAGGGTATGAGCAATATTTTCCAAAATATTTTCCTTAAAACCCTAGTCCTGTGACATGCTACATGATGAAAGTTTCCAAAGTCAAAAAAGTCAGGGAAATGCTGCCTTCTGCACTCACCTTTTATAGAGTCATAATGCCCATGAACATGTTAAAAGTGGTCCTCTGTTGGTTCCTGTCTGTACCAGATTTCTAAATTTGGGCCTTGGCTCCTTTCTGCTCTCTCCCCAGGTGATCTCATCCAATTCTGTGACTTTATTTGTTTCTTCAGGTTTTTTTGAGAGTGTCTCACTGTGTCACCCAGGCTGGAGTGTAGTGGTGCAATTTCAGCTCACTGCAACCTCCACCCCCTGGGTTCAAGTAATTCCCATGCCTCAGCCTCCTGAGTAGCTGGGATTACGGGTATGCACCACCACACCTGGCTAATTTTTGTATTTTTAGTAGAGATGGGGTTTTGCCATGTTGGCCAGGCTGGTCTCGAACTACAGGCCTCTAGCAATCCACCCGCCTTGACCTTCCAAAGTGCTGGGATTACAGGCATGCGCCATCACGCCCGACCCCAGTTCCATGACTTTAAATGCCCTCTGTATGCTGATGATTTCCCAACATATATCTCAAACCTTTCTCCTAAACTCCAGACTCATATATATATATAATTATAAATTATCATATATATTACTTATTTTATTATGTTATATAATCTATCTACTTGATAGCACCTCTTACACATGTATTACGCCATTACTTTCATGGACAAAAACCACCATTACTTTTGCACCAATCTAAATAGGTATCTTGAACTTATCACGGATAAGGCTTCATTTCCTTCACCCCTTTAAGCCTCTGCTTCCTAGTCTGTCTTGGCTCAGTCAATACCACCATCATGTATGTAACTACTCAAGCCCCAAAGGTGAAAGTCATCAGTGTCTTCTCTCTGATCTCTATTTCTCACGTTAACTCATCAGGAAGTTCTGCTGTCACTACGCCTCAGATATGTGCTGAAGCCATTCACTTCTCTCTATCTGCACTGACACTCCTGCCATCTCTCAAAGAAACTACTACAAGAGCCTAACTGGTTTCCACTTGTAATCTTACCCTTTAAATTTCATTCTCCATACAACATGCAAGGCATTTTTCTTTTTCAAATTGTAAGTCAAATCATGCCAGGGCTTAAAATCTTCCAAATTGCTTTCCATTGCACCAACAACATCTTACTTTTCTAAGATCATACCTCACTTCTACTCTCCACCTTAATTATTCAGCTCCAACCACAGAAGCTCCTTTCTCTTCTTCCAGCAGGCCAAGCTTCTTCCTGCCATGTCTTTAGACTCACTGTTTCCTCTGCCTCCTGGGCTTCCCCACTTCCAGTTATACCCTATAACCTTACCCCTTAAGGTCTTCAAAGTCCATACCATGATTTGAAATGCTCTTATTTTTTTGTTGATCTTTTGTGGTGAACCCCACCTACAAGGCAAATTCCATGAGGGCAGGGTAAGGATTTTATCTGTCCTGTTCACTCTTTACCAGGGAATCCTCAGTACCTGTAGTAGTGCCTAGCACAATATAGGTGCTCAATAAATATTTGTTAACTGCATGGAACGGTTTGAGAAATTATGCAATGGAGAAAACTATGAAACTTTGTTTAACCCAGCATTCCTCAGATTTATTTGACTATAGAATACTACCTGCCTTTGTAAAGAATATTTGTTATCCCAGCGATCATTTCCTAGATTACAGTTTGGTTTATGCTGGTTTAACATCAGTATTGAGAAGGACTAATATTTGAAACCCAGTAAATCTTAAACATCAAAACTTGAAAATCTCTTGTAAGCTAGCAATTTGGCAGCTCTTCGTGAGTCCAGGATAATTTTAATTAGGAGAATAAAAAGTAAGTTTAATTTTAAAAGTAAGTTCTTGGGTGTTTTTTCTTTGAGATGTGGGTTCAAAAAACAGAGATAGCAGCTCAAGATCACAGGGCTCGGGGAAGGGTGAGGTGTTGGTGGAAGGGGAGAAGGAGTCCAGACAGGATGTAGCAAAATTAAGGGATGTGGTTGACTAAGGGTAAATGAGATTGAGGCCCAGTAAAGAGTTCCTACTTCAAATGGAATTTTTAGAAACAGAAACCTGCAGTTGGAAACTTGGCTATTTTTATACTGTGTATGTTTTCTGTAATTATTTCTTTTCTGTTTTCCCTCATGTTTAGTAAAGCTGTTCTTGAAAATACCAGCCTGTCTCAGTTATGCCAAGGGAAAACATTTTTGTGCACATTAAAATTTTTAAAGGAGAATCATACCACCTTGGGGGAGGGGTGAATAGGTGATATGGTGACAGAATCTGGAAGTAGAAACCCAAAGTAGGGATGAGAGTGAGGCTGCAGAGTCGGGGAGAGTGGTTTACCCTCTTCTAACCTGGAGACATTCTTTCAAGACAAATTTGGTTAATCTGTGAAAACTTTGGAAGGTTTTGTATTGAGCCTTAAGTAGACAAGGCTAATTCTTTACAAAGTCACATGTATACATTATTGAGCTATAAAAAACAGTTGGTAAAGGAATTGTCTGGTGGGCTTCTGTGCCCGGGCTGCCTGCATATTGGAAACTAGATCTAGATTTTTTAAAGTATCAACATGGGTAAGCATAGAAATGCTGTGCTCTAAGGGATGTAGTTAGAAATTTGGGTAATTACCTAACTGGCAGTTAGTAAAGGAATTACCAGACAGTTGGTAAAGGAAATTAAAGGCCCTAAATGAAATTAGATAGGGAGAATTTGAGAAAGTCCACAAAAGTTTGAAATGTATGCAAAGATATGAAAAGTTTTGTGCATGTAGCAGAGTGCTCTGAGTTCAGATCTCAGTATTTTTCAGTCCATGATTGCACTAAGATTAGCAGCTGGACTTGACTTTGGGACAGGATCTTGTTTTATTCTCAGAGAGATCAGTGGGGATAAGGGGGCAGATTTCAGTCATCTTTATGACTGAAACCCAGAGGAATAACCCAGATGTAGGAGCTTCAGATTAGGGAAGTTGAGTATTGTGTCTAATAAGATAAAGAGCTTGCTCTGGGGCTCATAAGTTGTAATCCTGAAAGGATGCTGATATGGTTTGTGATTTTTCTTCATTAAGTGAGACCTGGTCTTAGAGTGTATACTAGGGTTTCCAGAGAAACAGAGACAGAGAGAGTACAGAGAAAGAGAAAAAGAGAGAGAGAGAGACACTTATTATAAGGAATTGGCTCACATGATTATGAAGGCTGACAAGTACAAAATCTGCAGAGCTGATGTGCCAGTTTGAATCTCAAAGCTGGAAGCTACTGTAGAGCCAGGAAGAACTAATGTCCATGTTTGAAGGTTTGTCAAGCAAAATAATTCTCTTACTCAAAGAAGGATCAGCCTTTTGTTCTATTCAGGCCTTCAATTGATTGGATAAGCCCCACGCATAAAGTGGAAGGCAATCTGCTTTACCCAGATGAGATTTAAATATTAATCTTCTCCAAAATATCCTTACAAAAACACCTGGAATAATGTTTGGCCAAATATCTGGGCACCCAGTGGCACAGTCAATTTGACACATAAAATTAATGATCACGGGAAGAAAGGAATGTGCATGATCAGATTTCCATCCAAGGAGATGAGCTGGCCCCAGAAACATGGTAGCAGGTTGGACATAAGGAGTGAGACAATCAGGCCCTATACCAGGCATGGCCAATGGGTTTCATGATAATGACACTTGAGATTCCATTTAAGTTCTTCTTTTCTACATTGTGTTTCTCATTTGTTATCTTCGAGGCTTAGTGTTACGGGTTTAACTGTATTCTCCCAAAAAAGATATGTTGAAGCCCTAGCCCTTAGTACCTCAAAATGTGACCTTAAAGGCCGGGCATGGTGGCTCAGGCCTGTAATTCCAGCACTTTGGGAGGCCGAGGCGGGCAAATCACCTCAGGTCAGGAGTTCAAGACCAGCCTGACCAACATGGAGAAACCCTGTCTCTAATAAAAATACAAAATTAGCCGGGTGTGGTGGCACATGCCTGTAATCCCAGCTACTTGGGAGGCTGAGGCAGGAGAATCGCTTGAACCCAGAAGGCAGAGGTTGTGGTGAGCCAAGATTATGCTACTGCATTCCAGTCTGGGCTAGAAGAGCAAAACTCCATCTCAAAAAAAAAAAAAAAAAAAAAAAAAAAAAAAAAAAAAAAAAAAAGTGACCTTAATTGAAGACGAGGTCTTTACAGAGATAATCAAGTTTAAAAGAGGTCATTAGGCTGGACCCTGGTGCAGTATGACTGACATCCTTATAGGACTAGCAACTGGGATACAAAAACAAAGAGAGTACAAAGGGAAGACGATATTAGAGGCATAAGGAGAATATAACCATCAACAGGTTAAGGAGAAAGTCCTCAGATAGAATACCCTTGCTGACCTCTTGATTTCAGACTTTAGACTCCAGAACTGAGAGACAATAAATTTTTGTTGTTTAAGCCCCTCAGTTTGTGGTAGTTTGTTATGATAGCGCTAAGAAACCAATACATTTAGTACAGTGTATTAAACACAATAACCTGTGTTAACTGTGCTTGGAAGGATGAAGGAAGGAGTAGAGAATAAAACTCAGGGGAGAGGGAGCGGCAGCACTCAGGAGAGGGCATGAAATGGCAGACGCAATTGGGAACAGTTTCTGGAATAGCAAGCAGTGGTCTATGGGAGTCTCAAATGAAATAATAAAGGTGATATGATTTTGTATTAAAAATGCTATAACTAAGGGCAGTTATCACTACGACCATTGATGATATCATACCCCCAAATATGTACTGGCTACTGAATGGAAAAACTACTGATACAACTAGTTCATAGTGATCATTCCTGTGTTTGATCAACTGAGAAACATTAATGGGATTTATATTAACTTTGAATATGTTAAAAATTAAAAGGTTTATATTAACATTGACAGTGTTGAAAAGTAAAGGGTATACATTAACTTTGACACTGTTAAAGATTAAAGGGATAATCTTTGACTATCTGCATCAACAATTGAGGGACAAACATCTTCATAGAGGATTCATGGGAATGGCAGAAACTACAACATCTTGCCTTGCAAATACCTCTCTGTATGTGAATGCCACACACTGTTTTTTTCTAGAATCTCTTCCACTTAAATGTTACCCTAGATATAGATAAGGGGCACCAAAAGGCCAGAAGTATGAAAAAAGAAAGGATGAATAGAAGAAAGGAAGAGAGAGAGGAAAGAAGGAAGGGAGGGAGGGAGGGACATGAGAGTTTTTCTTACCCCAGATCCAAGTTCCAACTCATTTGAAACCCTAATATTTGGTTTCAGATAATACTGGATATTTTCTAAAGTAGTCAAAGTTTTAGATTATTTAACGAACATTGTGGTTAAATTATTAATACAGGATAAAGATATTATTTAATAGTAATTTGCAAAAATCAATGCTTCTTTAAGGTCCTCGTTTTATGGTTTACTTCCAAAATCTTTAAAGCGGCATTCCATTTCAGAAAATGGCATGAAGATTACCTGGAGGTCTAGGAATTACGTAGATGGGAAAGAAATCTGATGACAGTATCTTGACCTTTTTAATACTAAGTAATACTAACATAATAATAACAGCTATTCCTTTATTGTAAGGATTTTCATTTTAAAGGCTTGCTGTTATTCATTTTCAATGCATAGCTCCTTATTAATTATCATTTTCTAGGGCTATGTGAATGACTTGAGTTCTATTAAATACCAAATGATTTCCCACATATCTAAGTTTGGAATCTATCTCTTTTAGTAGGCAGAAATTACTCTCCACAAGAATAGTGTACAGGCAGTCCCAATGAATGTAATTGTCCTTCCTTGTTGACGAATAACTGCTGATGCTTCCAGTCCCAGGTATAGCTAGAAAAGAAAATGATAATGTATAACTTCAACAGCTTTCCTGGAACAGGGAGCAGGGGATAGATTGAGTGTCCTTCTACATTTGTATATGTACAAGAAAAGTACCTCATATTGTTTCCAAGGAAATGTTTAATAGGTTTTTCCTGGCCTGGGATGGTCCATGTATGGTATATACTGTCTTTACGTCCCAAAATTTTCTGCTAAGCAGTCTGATCTCCTCTGTACTCTGTGAAGTCATTTTTGTGAAGAAGGCCTTAAATGAAATGAATGGTTGGGCAAAGACTGTGAGAATGTTTGAAGCAGTTCCTTTTAATTTTTTTAAATTTTATTTTATTTTATTTATTTATTTACTTTTTTGAGATAGGGTCTCACTCCGTCACCCAGGCTAGAGTACAGTGGCATGATCTCGGCTTACTACAACGGAGGGTTCAAGCGATTCTCCCCCCTTATCCTCCCAAGTAGCTGGGATTACAGGTGCCTGCTACCAGGCCCAGCTAATTTTTGTATGTTTTGGTAGAGATGGGGTTTCACCATGTTGGCCAGGCTGGTCTCAAACTCCTGACCTCAAGTGATCACCCACCTCCGCCTCCCAAAGTGTTGGGATTATAGGCATGAGCTGCTGTGCTCGGCCTTGAACCAGTTCTAATGTAATGCCTCTTGCAGGAAAATCCCAGGAGTTTTGGGGATGCTTGTTTCCGGTTCCACTACAAAACATCACAGTCTTAGGTAGGCTTAATACAAGTGGACATAATTATGCAGCCCTGTTCCACATCATTAGTGAGAGTAAATGCCTCCGCCAGGATTCTGCCAACACTGTTTCTAGCCAGACATCCATTAGTAAACATTGCAGTCTTAAAATACTGGTTGGCTTCTGTGCCTGGGCTGTCTGCATAATGGAAACTAGGTCTAGATTTTTTAAAGTATCAACATGGGCAAGCATAGAAATGCTGTTAACTAAGGGATGTAGTTAGAAATTTGGGGAACCCAGAATTTTGGTAAAGGCTTTTAAAATTTCTTTTTAAATTTAAAATGTTCTTAATGAAAATATGAAAGTATTCCTTGTCTTGTGATGATGCCAAGTAAGGGGCTAACTGGCTCCCTAGCTCTAACTCTGTCTTGCTCAGTATCACCATTTTACTTTCTTCATAGAGACCAGAGTACATTAAAACACTGTTCTCTTCAATCTTAGTATTTGATCTAACCAAGTGGGTTTTTCTAACAAATTGAAAGGATTTAATTGAAATGCACATTGTAAATAATTGTAATAAGTTACACATTCTTAAAAATAACAATCCTTCTAGTTAGTAGATGCTCGACAATTTCAAAAACACCCTGTGTTCTCTGTTTTGATCCTTGACAACCCTGTAAGGTGGAAAGTGTACATGATACGGGTGAGAAAACTGAAGCTTGGAGAGATCAAGAATTTGGCCAAGGTCACAAGCAAATTAGGCTGTTTTCAAGATCTGCCTAAGGGTTTGTGATAATATTTTCTTAGTATTCCTTGTCAAAGGAGGAGAAACTGCCAGTTAGGTGGGAGAGTTCCAAACTCTGTAACCTGCACACAAGTCCTATGATCTCATCTGGCTTTGAGCTCCCCAGGCTTGCTAGAACACCCTGAGTGATAGCTGCCTCTGTTACTTGTCTAGAACGAAAGGTGTTTAACCTAAAATGATTTCGTTTCCACATGTAAGTAGTAGAAATTACAAAGTCTTATCAGAAAGCCAACATGATAAGAACTTTTTGAGACTTTCACAAACCAGTAGTACTGACATGGTTACAAACCTCATTGCCTTTTTGAGAAAGAATGACAAATAAATGAGAATGGTAAATTGCAGAGATTAGCTTAGAAGCAGTGACTCTTGGTAGGTATTGTTAAAGAATAAGACATTGAGCTTGCTGAGTCTCCTTCCCAGGAAGAACTCCATGAACTTCCATATGGGCTTTTCTTTTACGTTCATCACAACAGCCCCACTGACAGTTACCTAGACAGAAATTATGATCCCCATTTTACCTATAGAAAAGCTGAGGGTTTAGAGATCAATGGACTATTCTAAGGTCACATGGTGTTATCAGAAGAGACTCACACTAGAGCTAATTTCTCTTCAATGATTTGAGTATTACATGTAAGTGACTTGCTTGAGGTAATCAAAAGAAAATATTTGGAGAATGAGGACATTTATGACATGCTTATCAAATATGCAGGTGACTGAGGACTGAGTGCTATGCTAGTGTTAGCTCTGATTTGTACAAGTTACTTAACCCTTCTGGGCCTCAATATCCTTCTTGGGGAAATGAGACAGTTAGTTGAACTAGATTAGGTTTTTCCAACTTTCTTTTTCTTTTTTAAATTGATAAAGCTGATCCCACCTCCTGCTTGGCTCCCTCCACTGCCTACTAGACCCTTGGATACAGTCTAAAACCACAGCATTAGGTCATCTGAAAGTTTCTTCCTGTTCCTAAATTCACTATTTTTATGATTGAAAGCAACTAGCCTCCTAATTTGCTACCTCTTCATGTTCCCTGCAGCATCTTGTCATCTTGTGGTATAAGAGCCCCAGACATGACGTCAGAGGACCTGGGAGTGAATCTCCATAACCAATTATCTATGGAGCCTTAATTAAGTTGCTTCACCTCTCTAAGTCTCTGTTTCCTCATCTATAAAATGAAGATAGTAACCCTTCCCAGGCAAGAGTGCTTTGTAAACTGTAAGAGATTAAATAAATGGATGGTGTCATTAGTATTATCTCCTGTGTACAATACCTTTCTCCATGGAGAGACAGCTTTATCCTTAGAATGACTCTGAGAACCAGTATGGGTTGAGCTGCTCTTCAGCAAGCTTGCCTTGGTATCTGTTGTATTTGGGCTTCATCTTCCCTGTGAGCTGAAAGCCAAGTCAGTAGAGAGGATGTGAGCTATCAACACAGCAAATAATTAAACCAAGGAGACACCATCATTAAGTCCAAAGGGAAAATTATCCCCATATGGTGACCTTGATAATAATTACCCAGCTATGTTTCCCCCTCCACATGAAGTCATGCCCCAATAATAATTATTGTCATTTGAGTGCTTACTTCATGCTAAGTAGATACTGTTTTTTACATGAGTTGTCTCATTTAATCTTCATAAGAACCTTTTCAATGACATTACTCCTAATCTGTAGTGAGAAATAATCTGAAAAATAGCGCATTATTCCTATTTTGTAGCTTAGAAAGGCTAAGTAATTTGCTCAGGTTCATATAATCAGTAAGTGGCAGAGCCTGGACTCTGAATTTAAACCTCTGAACTGATCACCTCTGCATCTTCCAATTGGAAGAAATGATTTTCCACACTCAGTATGAGGGCCAACAGCCTCATTCCTCTTTATCTTTGCCATGCTTTAGTCAGCCTCATCTCTCCATTTTAGTTACTATTTTCATTTCTTTCTCTATTCAAAAACGCTCCATTCATCTTCATAAAACTCAGAGGTGGAAAGCACCTATTAGTCATTGACGTCCCCACTAACTACCACCCCCCTACTTGTTCTCTGTAGCATGCTTTCTGCTCAGGGAGCCTCAGGGAATGAAGCCCAATCTCTTCCATGGGGAGTTAGTCCCATAACTAATTCATCTCTGTCAGGAAGATTTTCCTCTTAGGTTTATCCTCTTCTTTAGTTTTGCATTTTACCCAATTATTTCTCTCTGTGGGCTGCACACTTCAGCTCTTCAGATCACTTTGCCTAAGCCTGCCCAGGCTCTCAGCAGTGATTTTGCTGAGCTGCCTCTTTCCCTTTTTCCATAGCCAGAGTAGCTTTCTTATTAGCACCTGGAGGATGGTGTCTCCAGTGGACAGAGGTAGAGGTGAGCTATGGGAGGATGCTGGGAAATAAAGTGAGGAGGAAGAGGTGTTAGCAGGAGGTTTGAAACCTGCTTAGTCAGAAACTCTTGGACCCAATTTGGCTTGGACCTTTCTCTTAAGTTGCCCCTCTACTAGCAGCAGAGGCATTTGCTATCCAGCTAGGCAGGATTCCATTAGGATGCTGTGCCAAGCCCTAAAACTGGTGCCAGGAATCACAGAAATAAATGGAGTGCACCAGTACAAAGGAAGACATTGTGGTACAGTGGAAAGCATGTCAGCTTTAGGATTTGAAAAATCTAGTTTAAATCATTGCTCCACTTTTTACATAACTATATGGTTTGGTAAGTCATTTAACCTCCTGAACTTCAGCTTACTCATTTATAAAATGGAGAGATAATACCTAGCTTAGGAACTTCCGTAAGGATTATGGAGAATGGCCTGACACATAGTAGGCACTCAATCAATGACAGCTATTATTTTTCAAAGCCCTAATTCTAAACCACTTCCTCATAACCATGTTTCTTATTTAGAGTCTACGGGCAACTGGCCTTACCTCTTATTCTTCCGTTTTCACTATGCTACAAACCAGCCTATAGCATTCTCATTTTTTAGCTTCACCTGCAGCATCAACAGTTCCAGACAGTTCCCCACAGTTCCCCACTGCCTTGAAAGCAGAACTCAGGTATGAGCTTTTAAATCCAAATCAACATTAATTTTGTTTTTCAATTTTTACTTTGATGTGAACTTTACCACTGCCATGTTGACAGGGACATAGATACTAATGTATAGGATACAGCCCATTTATTAATAGGCTCTAAATGAATGTTGGCAATTTCTCACTTGCATCAAAGACCCATTCCATATGCATGGCTATTGGCAGTAGTATCTTAATATGCAAACAAAACCCAACTTGAACAAATTTTGTTACAACAGTCTTTTCAAGTGAATGCATATAACCATCAGCCAAAAGAACACTGCCTGTCTCTTGGATACCTGAAATCTACTCATTTAACAAATATTTATTGAGAGTCTACAACGTACAGAAGACTTTGAAGGTGCTGGGATACATGATAGGACATGAGGTTAGCATGGTAGTCATGGGGTCACTAAAGCAAATCCCCTCTTTAATGTAGCTTACATTGTAGTGAGAAACACATGAAACACAAGTAGATACACAAAGAAAATAACTTGAGATAATTGCTTCAATGGAGAAAACTAAGCAAAGTGATATAATAGTGACTAGAGAGACTATTTTGGTTATTTATACGTTTGTTTTTACTTTAACTTAAAATATCAAAATAATAGATGCACATTGGCCAGGTGTAGTGGCTCATGCCTGTAATCTCAGCACTTTGGGAGACCAAGGTGGGCAGATCACTTGGGGCCAGGAGTCTGAGACCAGCCTGGGTAACATGATGAAACCCTGTCTCTACTAAAAACAAAATACAAAAATTAGCCAGGTGAGGTGGTGCACGCCTGCAGTCCCAGCTACTTGGGATGTTGAGGCATGTGAGTTACTTTAGCTGGGAGGCAGAGGTTGTAGTGAGCTGAGAACATACCACTGCACTCTAGCCTGGGTGACAAAGTGAGATTCTGTCTTTAAAAAAAAAAAAAAGAAAAAGAAAAGAAAAAAATGGATGCACATAATTCTATTTTTTAAAATTTTACCAATCAAAAGAAAGCTGGAATCGATGCAAATAATTTTTTAAAATTTATGTAATTCTAAAATACTTTAATTGGGAGAGGTGGGGTAGAAAGGCTCCTCTAAGGAGATGATAACTGAGCTGAAACTTGGATTATGAGGAGACAGCTATGAGAAGGCCTGGGGAAAACCACATCAGGTAGAAGGAATAGCAATCCAAAGGCTCTGAGTGCAAATGAGCTTGGTGTGCAGGTTAATGAGATAGGAGGAAAAAGTACAATGTAGTTAAAATGAACCGAATAAAAGGGTGAAAGGTAAGAGGTGAGATTGTAGAGGTGGAGAAAGGCCAGATCATATAGGGTTTCACAGGGTATGGAAAAACTGTTGGTTATGTTCTAATTACAGTGGGAGACTATGGATGGGGTTGGAATAAGCAAAGGAGAGATACGGACTTGTTTCTAACAGATGATTCTATCTGCTGGACAGAGGGTGGAGTATGGAGGGGCAACAGTGAAAACAGGAATCCTTTGCAAAAGTACAGGTAAATGATGATGGTGGCTTGGATTAGGATGATATCAGTGGTGATGGTAAAATTCAGGATTTACTTTGGAGGATTAACCTCTAGGATTTGTTGATGAATTGGATTTTGGGAGCAAGGCAAAAAGAAAACCAGACAGAGTCCTAGGTTTTGACTTGAACTCTTTGGGGTATGGTGGTGCGATTTACTGACATATGAAAGACTGGGTGTAGAACATGTTTTGGGGATTGGGTTTTGATTTGAAAATGTTAAAGTGTGATAGACCTATGAGACAATCATAAGGGGATCTCTAAAAGCCAGTTTGCTTGGCTATTACAGGATACTCCCAATTCCCCTCTCTCACACTGCACGTCCAGCTGGTTGGCTAGGTTAGGGATCTGCCAGAAAAAGAAGCAACATGCATGCTAGTCCAGATGCATTTGTGATTAATGTGCAATTTTTTTCCTAAGAGTTGATTCTTGGGGTCAGAGGAGCATGGTGGGCGCTCCTTGGAAAGCTGTAGTATATTCTAAGATGTGTCTAGATACCTGTGGTTGATGAAGGAAGTAGTTTCCCAGAACAGAGTTATATTTGGCCAAAAACATTTCCAGTGACATTTTTCACTTGGCGCATAGATAGAAGATGGCATCATGTGAAGAAATAATACAATGACATGTTTCCTATACATAGACTCTTCCACTTCAGATTCTGGTTCCTAGATTTATAGATGTTAGATAGGGAGTATCTAAAAAAAAAATTGGTTTAGCCCCTGATCTCAGGGACACAATGCCTGGAAGAATCATACTACTTTTTGTAATAGCATCTTCTGCCTTGGAGAACTGGTCCTTTTCTTCAACATTCTTACTTTACGCCTTCAGGTTCCTCAAAACATATTTTCAGCTACAAAATTAAGAGTGAATGAAATACATTAAATATAGGCAAAACTCGACTGGGCATGGTGGCTCATGCCTGAAATCCCAACACTTTGGGAGGCTGAGGCGGGAGGATTGTTTAAGCCCAGGAGTTCGAGAGTAGCCTGGGCACCATGGCGAAACCCCATCTCTACAGAAATTAAAAATTAAAAAATTAAAAAGTATAGAGAAACTCATTTTTAAAATTATGCTATATTTAGATTATTGTATTAATGTTAATGTAACCAATATATTTATACAACAAAACACCATTAAATTAGCACAATTTAGAAGAAAGTGTACCCATAAAGGAGTTACTAAATATTTATTTTACAATTATGATTTAAAAAACTTTAAATTCACATAGTATTAAATATGAGGGCTTTGCTAGGAAATATTTTGTCTATTCAGGCTCACTGACCTATAGAAAACAATAAAAATCCTGTCAGAAGTAAAATTTAAGTTGTTGGTCTTAAATTCTCTTTTAAGAAAGAGATACACAAATTTATATGCTTGTAAAATTAAGAACTGCAAGTATAAAATTATTTTCTACAAATATGAATATCTAAAATGCTGTATTTAAGTTTCATATTTGGTTGATTTCAGACATGGCCATGAGAGCGGAGGTGAATAAAGAGGAGAAGAGGTAAAAGAAAGTTGGAGGAAGGGAGGGATAGGGAGAGATTTGTTAAATGAAACGAAATCACAGCTAGATAGGAGGAACAAGTTCTAGTGTTCTATAGCAGTGGAGGATGACTATAATTAACAATAATACATTATAGAGTTTCAAATAGCTAGAAGGAAGACGGTGAAAGTTCCCAACACAAAGAAATTATAAATGTTTGAGAGGATGGCTATGCTAATTACACTGATCTGATCACTATACATTATAAGTATTGAAACATCACTATGTACCCCATTAATATGTACAATTATCATTTGTCTATTAAAATTAATTAATTATATTTTTTTAAAAGAAGAAAGTCAAAGAAAGAGACAAAAAGGGAGGGGAAAACAATTGATAAAGGAGGAGAGGAAGAGACAGGAGAAAAATAAAACAAACAAGATATACACATACAAAGAAACAGAAAAATAGGCAGTGAAAGAGAGGAAGAGCAAAAGCAAATGAACATGAGAGTGATGTGCTGGTGGTGAGCAGGTGATATGGTTTGGATCTTTGTCCTCGCCCAAATCGCATGTTGAATTGTAATCCCCACTGTTGGAGGTGAGGCCTGGTGGGAGGTGACTGGATCATGGGGGTGGTTTTTCATGAATGGTTTAGCACCATCCCCTTGGTGCTGTTCTCGTGACAGTGACTGAGTGAGTTGTTGTGAGATCTGGTTGTTTAAAAGTGTGTAGTACCTCCCCCGACTCTCTCTCTTGCTCCTACTCCGGCCACGTAAGATGTGCCTGCTTCCCCTTCCCCTTCTACCATGATTATAAGTTCCCCGAGGCCTTCCCAGAAGCTGAGCAGATGCTGCCATGCTTCCAAGTAAAAATTACCGAGTCTCAGGTATTTCATTATAACAGTGTGAGAACGGCCTAATACAGCAGGTGAATTATTCTACTCATACCTTGGAGTTCACTGTGGACTTCAAGTGTCTGTCCTTTGAAATACGAAGTAGCTGCTTAACCACTGCCCAAAGCCCCTCAATTTCTCTTGACTTTTGGCCTTTCTTCCAAGTCACTGGTAGTTAAATCAACCCACCAAAGGAAACATGTGCTTTGGGCTACTGTAGTAGTGACCAGAATAATATTATCTTGGGGCAAAAAGAATTAAATTAGTAGCCAGACATCCCACAGACTAGAGACCACCAAACACTGTCAAGGTTAACAAAGCAATGGTAGCTCTTAGGATCTAGAATGCTATATAATCAATAGGATAGTTTTTCATATGCAAATTATACTTTCAAAGTGATTGAAAATCATTTTCCCCCAAATGTTGAAACTTCTTCCCTGGGATATTACTTAGCTTTTCTAACACAAAGTTCTAGATTAATTTCTGGTGTATCATGTCTACATAAGAAGAAATGGAATGCCATGGTTTTTGACAATTGCTTTATAGCAAGATCCTTTCGGCCTATCAGACCCTTTAACTCTTTTCTCACTATACAGGCTTGTAGCTGTAACTGTCCTCTTGCTGCTTGATCACTCTGTTACCTTTCTGGAATCCCCCCTGAGGGTAAGCTCGTTACCAAACTGTGATCTCCCCTAAGCCATAAATCCAACCTCACCCCGCTGCATATGAACACTAGTCTGTTTCCAAGACCACCTCCCTTCATGGTTGTAAAGCAGAAATATAACACACTGACAGAAACAAATGGAGGAAGTAGAATTTTTTGAAAGCCAAGGAAGCCGCCATATCCTGTAATGAAATTTAAAAAATAATCACCATTGTCTACATTAAACCAATAGCACAAAATAAAAGGGTGTGTGGGTGGGGGAGGCGGGATTTGTTGATTTCAATAGCAACTTGCTGACATATTCCCCCTTTTCTTGTCACAGATTGTCTGTCCCATTTCTGCATCAAAAGCCTGAAGGTTTTGTTTCCTGGGTCTCTCAAGGTAATATTAGAGCCTGTGTTCTGCACAAAAACTAGCTCAACTCAGCTTGCATTCTCTGAAAACGTTAGCTTGACTCAGGTGAATTATTTCTTGCATGTGTACATGACAACCTGATCCTTATAACTAGGCGTACTTATCAAAAGACTTTGAAGGATTTCCCTTCTCAGCATCAAGGTAGAACAAGAAGTTGGACATATGTACTGTGCATGATTTTCTTAGTTTTTCTTCCAGTCAAGATTAAGAGTTGCACCTACCAAAAAAGAATGACCTTATAGTTTGAATTGCCAGCTTTAGAGAAATAATACACTAGATCCCATCAAATATCAAGACCTACTCTTTTCTCTATTTCCTTAACCAAAAGGGGCTCTTCCTAACAAAAATAACATCTACCTCAACACTAATATAGAATTAACTATAATCTTCAATCTATTTTGTGACCACTCCTAATCTTCCCCTGGGACTTCTACATGAGTCTTTTAAAACAATTTTACATATCAACTGGAGACTTTTAAGGTGGATTTAACTTTTTAATTTGCTGTATATATGCAATAACCTCTTGAAAATCTGGAGTGCACTTACTGGAATTATGCTTTCTTCTTTATCTCTCCTTTTTCTTTTTTTTTTGTCTGAGATGCAAGATTTGGCAATGTACAGAAGAAAATACACTGTACTGATGCAGCACAGCTTTTGGAGCCAAGTAGACATGGCTTTGAGACCTTGGTCTAGTTATTCAACTTTTCTGTTGGTCTAGTTATTCAAACTTTCAGAGTTTGATTCCTGGAAATGGTAACATTCTCTATCTTATGAAATGCTATGAAGATCAAAAGAGATGTCAAAACTCTTGAGCCTAGTGGGTGAAAGACTGAAGATACAAGTAAAATTTATATGTTCCCATTTTCTATGGGGCCAGAGAATTGGATACTAGTTCACGGAAATGACTGTTTCCCAAATTTCCCCAATAATAAGAATTTCTTATGGTATTTGTTAAAAATACAATTTCCTTGGTCTCGTCGCAGACTTGATGATTCAGAAATTCCAAGACTTGGAAGCTAAGGAACTATATTTTTAACAAACACTCCTTATGATTCATACCATGAGAAAAGTTGCAAAAACACTGATATAGACTAGCAGTATCTGTTCTATAATTATAAGCAAAATTCAAAATAAAATAATATTTTAATAAATGAATTTTTTAATGTGTACAACTTCTTATGCTCCTAGTTAAATTATCCAGTTAAATATTTTAATTAAAATTTACACTAAATATTTAAACTTTAAGTCCACCTGTCTTTTTCTCCGTAGATTCCACAAAGCAGTCAAATTTCATTCTCATTAGTGTATAAAAAATAATTGCTTTTAGTTTTAACTAATTTAGCATTAGAAGAATAAGGGCCAAGAATATTATAAAGCATTTTAGTAATATATAGTGCTATATGAATGTTTATTATAATAATTAACTGTAACAATTAAAATAATAATAGTTTATACCTACAAGACTTGACTTGTGAGTTAACCAGTTAGCTTCATTTTAATATGCTATTAGCAAATCTCTAAGCTTCATAGAGACAAAGCTTGAAATATTACGCATAAAAACAACACAAAAATCTCTTCTGATTTGAACCCAAATTGCTTTTTTACTCTTTCTTTTTTTTCTGATGGACCTCTAGCTAATTGTACCTTTTAGGTTCAGAAACCTTTGTATTTTTAAGTGTTTGGCATCCAGATATAAATTTTCTATTTCCTTCAAAGATGACATTGTGGATGATGATTCTCTTGGTGCGTTGTATATGACAGGGACCCAGAGAAGTGAGAAAATGAAGAGGAAAAGGTGTGAGAAGAGTTGGATAGACTAGTGTATCACCAGCAGCTCTTTAAAAACGAATCATTATTCAACAGAGAGCATTTACTAAGCTCTTACTAGGAGCCAGCTACTGTCCTCACGGCCTGAACATAGCTACTAACTGTTCTGTTGATTCATTGTTTTCAGTTGTGCCTCTGAGCCCTGTGATCAGCTAGAGCAATGGCAATTGTTGGTGACTTACAGATAATTTTCGTTAAAAAGAGCAAGGCTGTTCTTGATTGCCGTAGGGCATAACCACCACACAGTGGCTGATGCTCTGTTTCAGAACTTCCTATAAGTTTCTGCATATGTTTATGTCTATCTCGTGTCAGTGCCGCCCCAAAAAGCTAATTGTTTATTTTGCTCTCATCCACTGTAGTTTGAGATGAACATGCTTTAGGGTTATTAAATCAGACATTAGACATTATCTAGAATCTAGATTATACCACCATATATTTGTTTATAAGTTGCTTTCACATTATTCCTTCGTTGTTTCCTACTAAATTATCTTTTTTGTTTTAGCTAGTATACTTCTACATTTTTTTCCAGGATAAAACTATGTATGTGGAGGGTACTCAAATGTTGGTTCAATTAAATAAATATTTTGCCTAATTAACTACATTATAGATTCTTGTTAGTGACTATTTCTCTTCTTTTGACATTAAGTAAGTAACATTGATGATAATTTCCATAACTTAAATATTTGAAATGTATTGTTTTGGGAAGGTCTGAAACTACCAGTCATATGAAAAGTCTGAACACAGTCACTAACAATTCTCAACTATACCCTCAATGGTTGGATTTGGGAATTTTTTTCCATTCCAGGGACATTACAAAATACAAAAATTATACATAAGAGTTTTAAAGAAAGGATTTTGGTTACTTTTCCTTTTTTTTTTTTTTTTTTCTTTTTTGAGATAAGCACTTGCTATTCTGCTCAGGTTGGAGAACGCTGGCTATTCACAGGCATGCTACAGACTTGAACTCCTGGTCACAAACAATCCTCCTGCCTCGGCCTCTGCAGTAGCTGGGACTGCAGGCACACATCACCAAGCTCAGCTCTTTTTACTTTTATTGTGTATGTATCCTATAAAACTGCTATGTATTTGTTTATATTTTGCTTAAAGGTTTTTCTTATTCTTAATGTTTCAATGTGTAGTCTTCCAAATTTGCTTTTATGCATAGATGCATTTTTTCATAAAAATGTGAGTGCACACTTACATTCTATTGTAATTAATTTATATGCATAATATCTCTTCATAAAGTTGCTCATTTTTTATTGAATGGACAGCTGATGAGGGTGAGGGTGGACAGGGTCTCACTATGTTGCCCAGGCTGTTGTTTGGCTTTTGCGTTTGTTGTTCTTTCTGGATGATGGTACAGATCTTTGAAATATTTGTATATTTCTTCAATATTTTATATACTAAGGAAAAAGAAACATATGCAGACAGCTAATTAAAATGTCATTTTCTTACTTAAGTAGGTTGAAAAGTGTGCCAGTAGGTAATATAATTTTTCATGACTTTGACCTTGGTGGTAACTTCTTAAAAAGTCAGAGCAAAGGTTATACTATTATTACTTTGATTTGTAAGCCTTTACCATTCATGGTTTCCTCAATGCTCTAAGAAGTCCTTATAAGTACTGGCAAAAAAATCTTTGTAAGAATTTCCTTTCATATAAGAATAGAGTCTTCTTTATTATTCACAGGTCCTCAAGAAAGGTAGATAAGTACCTGGGCACCCCAAAGACCAAAGCTTAGTTGACATAAACATATCTCTGGATATATTGACCATGGTTCCCCACTACTAATTTCTCAAGCTTTTTAGTTGTGAGGCAGTATAAGGTAGTGGGATAGACCTTTGATTATGAATTTGGACACAGAATTGGAGTCCCAGTTATGCAACAGTCTAACTGCAATTATTCACTTATTTGTCTTCTTCCACTATGTGGACAAAGATCATGTTTTATTTGCCTTCCTATCCCTATCGCCCAGCACATAGCACTCAGTTAATACTCATTTAATGAAGCTGGAATGCATCCCTAATCTTGGACAGCTCACTCACAGTCTTTCTGAACTTCATATTTGTCATATGTAGAATAGACTGGTTACTCTCCAACATCATTTCCAGCTCTGACACTGCAATTACGTGATCTGTGTATTCTGGAGCCAACTTCCCAAAACAATCTCTCTTGTTTGGGCCACTGAGATACGGCATTGCATTGTTTGCTTTATTATAAATGGCTTCTTAATCTCTAAATCATTCCTACTTAAAAGAGATTCAAAGAGCCTGCAGTATTGCTGTATATTTAGTGGAGAACAACTTGGAGAATTGCTTATTCGATATTTTATAGTTTCAAGCAGAGTTCCTACTCCATGAGAGCTTTGGAGATATTTTACATTCTTTTTAAAGTTGTCTTCTAGCTCAAGAAATTTGGTACCTATCTGGTTTGATTGATTTGGCTATGTTTCAACAAATTTGTTGGGTGACTAACAAGAGTTCAGAATGATTCAGACGATGGAATGATGGACTACCTAGTATTTAAGTCATTGGAGAGGCCAAGACATCTGTCCATCTATAACATTTTACAGCTATTCTTTACTGCTTTATAACAGAATTTGCTTGAAGAATGATAGAAATATAAGGGCTAGAATCGTACCATCAACACTGTAGAAGGTTAGAGTGGGAAGGATCTGAGGTTTGTTGCGAGGAGCCTCAGTGGCTGCCTAAAAGAGAGCTAGGAATATAGTGGGGGAAAGAAGACTAGGTAGGACTCTGAGTTCTCCTCATTCCAGTTTCTACCATCTCAACCAAGAGCAAACCCGTTTCTGTCCATTTCACCTGCTGATCTTCAGAATAAGTTTATTAAAAAATGTTCTGCTTCAAAATAAAATTTGGCCCTATTAATCTATTCCAACTTTTCATTTACAGATAGAGGCTCAGAAGGTTGTGATTTGCTCTTCATAGAGGTCACTGAGAGATCTCCTAGACTGGGTTCTAATTTTCAAAGAGATTTTGAGGAAAAGAAATGTCAGAAGTAGCTGGGCACGGTGGCTCACATCTGTAATCTCAACATTTGGGCTGGGCATAGTGGCTCATGCTTGTAATCCCAGCACTTTGGGAAGCTGAGGCTGGTGGATCACTTGAGGTCAGGAGTTTGA